CCTCGATCCTCTCTGCTAGGGCGTGTGTGAAGATGTTATCTAATATGGCTTATATAATGTAGTTTATTTATAGTTGTATTTCCTGATTAAGCCGAACGGTGAGGATGAGGACGCTATGAGATGGCTGGCCCAACTCGTCGTCCGAGGTTTTACCGGAATTATGTAAGGCGGCTAAGCGACTAACGATGCGTCGGTTTATTGACGTTCGTCGACTGCCCGATTTGGATTTCGAGGTGGCTTTCTCGTCGCACCTCAGCCGCCCTTCCAGCATCTCCTCTGCTCGCCGCGCGTCGATGGCGGGGCATACAATCTAATCTTTAAATAGAAAACACTGTTTTGATAGTAATGCATGAGTAGCTGTTGCTCTGTATTTTCGATGTATTTCGATGAATAGATTATTCTATATACATTGAAAAGTGCAAGTACCAGGCTCCTCGATGCAAAGTAACCCCAGACCTTTGAAGATTGTGTATATAAATCTACTTTAACTTTGATAAAAATACAGAGACAGTAGCTGCCCCACTATTGTGGTAAATACCTGTTCACTGCTTTCTTTGTTGAAGTGGGAGGATTCCCGTACCTACTCATGCTCACCGGAAGTACATGCAGTCAACAATTCAGATATACAATATTCTGTTATTGACAGCTACAATGTCCATGTCCCCGTCGACGCGCGGCGAGCAGAGGAGATGCTGGAAGGGCGGCTGAGGTGCGACGAGAAAGCCACCTCGAAATCCAAATCGGGCAGTCGACGAACGTCAATAAACCGACGCATCGTTAGTCGCTTAGCCGCCTTACATAATTCCGGTAAAACCTCGGACGACGAGTTGGGCCAGCCATCTCATAGCGTCCTCATCCTCACCGTTCGGCTTAATCAGGAAATACAACTATAAATAAACTACATTATATAAGCCATATTAGATAACATCTTCACACACGCCCTAGCAGAGAGGATCGAGGACGCGAGACGGATGGTTCTAGGAGCCTGGCCATACTCATGCGCTTCTTGTCCACATAAACGAGTACACTCTCCAAGTTCTCGAGGCCATACTCGGGGGGGAGCAGCTGCGGTAGGTAACTTCGCATCGACCTGAAATGGATTTCTTCTTCGCGCTCGGATGCATCTTCAGGTAATGGGCAATACTTGTCGCAGAAAGGGCGAGTCATAGACTTGGTCATGAGGTATCCCAAGACATGGTGCGACCCGGGAACGGGTTGAGTCTGCCACCTGCGAGGGGCTGGGGACGTATTGGTATTGGCTTTAGGCGTCGACATGGTCATCTTGTCGAAATTACCACTGTGAGGCAGTGACGGAGGACTGGACGATATCAAGAATGGGGACGATAGTGCCGGCACTGGCTCAACTATAAGTACCAGTATGCAAGACTGATGACACTCGCGGTCGACAGCAGAGGCCTGGCCACCGATGAACGACCACGCGTCAGGATACCATATATAGAATTCATCCCTCACACAATCCACACGCATTGTTCACCAATGGCGTGAGGCTTAGGACTATTATTCATCTATGCGCCCATTGTCTTTCGGAATATCAAGAAGAACAAGGTTCGGATTCCGCGCTTCTGCTTCTGTCGTTTCTTGCGAAGACATCTCCTTTACTGTCATAGTACTCGCATTGTGCGTGGACATCCATTGTTCTCAAAATAGAGATTCATCTCTCATCACTATCAAGTTTTCCTCGTCTTCGGAGCTCGAGCGTCAGGAAGCTAGTTCCTGCTTGCGTATATGTCTCCATCTAGCCTGCTTCTGTACCCAGGACAAGGTGTTCACAACGCACGTGAAGGTGCTAGAGGCGACACAGACAGCCTAGTTCTGCGGAACTATGCGAGTTCATTAATGTTCATTGTGCCCAGAGGTTTATAAGCTGCCTGCTGCAGCGAAAGCCCAAAATTCCGCCTTCACCAGACCGCCGCGTTAATCCTGCTCTAGACATTGACATGGCCCCTCAGCAATTGCTTCGCTCCATTCCCTCTGATATCCCTCCATACGAGTCCGATGCATGGTCAGAGAGGGTCAAACTGCGATTCCTCTCCTACGATCTCAACCCCCGAAATCTGGAGTCACCCGTTTATGCGCTGTCGGATAAGACCCTCACAGGTCTCTTGCACCCCTTTCGCCATCTTGTCGACAATTGGCCACAGGCTACACTTTCTCTTCCTAAGCGGAAATTCAGTATATATTATTCATTATACTTGCTGCCCTGCTATGCTGACTCAGCATGTAATCTCTCCTTCAGTTCGAATGACCCAAGACCTCTACGACGAAGCAGCAAAGAAGCAACCCTTTATACCCGGAAGACCCAGTAAGTCTCATTCCATTGTCTTACCATCCTTTCTTAAATCTGCAGAATACGACTTGCGAACCAGGTCGTTCGAACTCGAGGAACTCGAAGATGCTAACGCAGGCATTGAGGCTGGGCACGAATTAAGTATGTGTGTCCGAACAATCACAATGTCAATGAATGCTGATGATTGACAGGTACGGAGCAGCAGAATGCTGGCAGTAGCTCTGGCAAACAATTGTCTCAGACTAATAGCCAGCAGCCACTTGGTGGGTGGAACACATCCTTTCATCATTTTCCCCTTCTAACAGTTTATGGTAGTCGCAAAGAACGAATCTAGAGGAGCCCTGGACGATGGATCTGATCTAGAGGATGCTACGGACGAAGACGATGATGGTAAGTGTAGCCAGCCTGACTTTGAGCAGTGCGTGAACTGATGTACACTCAGATGATAATTTTTCCATTGCATCCGGTGCCTCGCGGGCTGAAGACAAGAACGTTACGGACATAGTCGACTTTGCGTGGGCCTACCGCATTGAGTTCGACATGCAAAAGCCTAGTCAGCAGCTCATGCCGCGACCTACGGTAGGAGCCGAGTCAGACGCAGCCGCCAAAGCCCGGCGTTACGCCGCGGCTCACAAACTCTACAAGGGTCTCTTCCTCATCTACGACGGCCTCATTTTCATCGAGGAGGATAAAGGCATCCTTCTCGGCGTCATCACCTATCTGGCAGCGAGGATGAACTGAAGAAATCCTATCTTAGTCTACTCAACGAGGCCGAAGATCAGCTGACCCTTTATATGTTCTTGTACTTTCTTAAGGATGAGCACACTGACAGGATGGTGGTTCGCTCCGTATCAGGTACCTTTTGGCGGTGGGCCCAATTCAGCAGGCACGAAATCCCCATCTTCCACATTCCGGGTGGCAGTCTCAAGAAATCTCCCGTTAGAGCATCACTTGCAACGGAGGTCAAGAAGAATGCTCAAGTCGTAGCTAAGTGGGAAGTACAACCGGTTTTCGAGGAGGGCACCCCAGAATCGGACGCCGCTTTGACGGCGATGAGGGCGCAAGCTCTGCAAAACCTGGAGGAATTTTCTCCCAGTATGCGCAAGGGCAAGACACCATTGTGGTCTTAGGTGTAGGGGGAATTGTAGGTATGCATATGAAGGAATGTGACTCGGAAGTGTGCTTTATGTACAATATATACACCATGTACTGCATATTTAAACAGACTTGTCTTTGTAACGAAGTCACTGCATTGCGTCGATGTCAAATTCACGGATTCATTAAGCCTAATCCCCACTAGTAATCTTCGTAGCTTGAACCATAGTACTCGGGCACAGGTAAGGACGTACACATTCGGATCGTACGGAAAATCGGCAGCCTATCTATCATTCACTCATAATGTGGCTTCCCCCGTGGGGTGTATGGTGCTATATGCTGGTAACGGGCCTCGACGTATCCGAGTCTTATGGTGCCTCTGCAGTCTCCATGTTTCCATCCAGTGGCCTTGCTGCGCGCAACTGAGGCCGCGTGATCACATCGTACTATAACTAGTAGATGCTCTGATATTGGCTCTCTTCTGTACTAATCGTTGTGACTGGTGCCGGTCTGCGAAGATAGTGAGGACCGAGACTGAGAGATAAACAGGTCAGGCGAACCGTTTGTCTATCGTAGCGGCGCAAGCGCCAGTCCCCGACTCCAGTCAGAAACCATAAGCATTCCAGTACTACAGTGCCTTGCATAAGAAACTGAACGTCACATTTCTGCGAGCGTTGTTTGTCCGCGCCAAATATACCCTTTTCGGGTATCGGCAAATGTGCGGCAAAGACCCATCGAGAGGGAGGGTAGCTAGGCATACAGGTGGGGGCAGAGTATAATGATTTACAGCCCTTAGTGTAGTTGTAGAATATACATTTCATGCATTCTCTGAAGCCTTTCGAGCCGTCTCGGGTCGTCTGCGAGTCCCTGCCCAACAAATGGTCCCGCGAGAGGCCCTCCGGACCTACCCGAAAAGGGTATATTTGGCGCGAACAAACAACGCGCGCGGAAATGCGATGTTCAGTTTCTTATGCAGAGCACTGTAGTGTCTGGTCACTTTCATGACTTGATCATTAGGGGAAGTCACGGTGCTCGTTTTAAGGACCGTTTTAGCCTCGTTTCTGCAAAACGGCTCTGGAGCCGTTTTGCACAAATCGCGAACACGGTTTTCGTTTTAGCTCAGCTCGGAGTCGCAAATTCTCTTGCCATATCTAGGCTTAACTGAAGCCTTGGAGAACTTATGTCCCCTCCCGAGTGTCTAGTTTGTGCTGGGAAGTGACAGTCTCCTTCTGCAGTATATACCAAGTGTTTAAAACTTAAAGAGTGCTGTACCTTAAAGAGGAATCACGGCTCTACATTGGAACTCCGCCTACAGTCAGTGGCTGTAAACATTGTGCTTGAATGAAGCATTGAACGGTTGATTTTGTTTTACGAGGCGTTTTAGAGGTCGAAAACGAAATGCAAAACGGACGCTAAAATGGCCTTGAAACGCCAACCGTGACTTCCCCTATTCACGTCAGGTGTGTGCGGGCAGTTGTCTTCCAAGTCGAAACGAAAGTGGCGTCGGTCCGGTCGGGACCGTTGCTTACATGAGGTTCTCACGGTGTTAGGAAGCGATGTCCTAACTAGTCGTCTTGAGATAACTGGGCCACGTGCCAACAGTTATGTCGTCACTACCTCAGTAGGCGTACTGAAAGGTAGGTCTGGCCGGGCCAATGCCAACGGTCAAGTCAAGAGTCCAGGTAATCGCTGTATTCAACAGGAGGTTGAACTAAGGAATACATGGGTTTTCCTACAGTATATATAGTAACTGGTATAGGGGTTAATACCCAAAGAAGAGAACAATAAGAAAGGATGCGTAAGCCATCCTGTGAGAACGTAACTCAGAGAAATGAGAAATACAAGGGCGCCCATTGGTAGAAGGTGAGTCAAGGAAGATAACGTGTGAGAAGAAGATAGCGTCCATGGGAAGGTCTACTCAGAGAAAGGTACTGTCCAATAGCAATGCTCGGAATGGAAATGGAATGAGATAAGCATGGGAAAATCATAACACACGGCGAGAGCGAGTTGTATGGTGGAGTGACCATTTCTTCCCGACAGAACCCTCCTCCCAATACCGTGGTGGGAGTCG